GAGTTTTCGTTGGAACACCCTGTATATACTAGCACATCTACTTTTACTCAGTACTATATCACAGCACATCCAAATTTCGATAAAAAACTATTTCATACATTATAGAGGTTTCGTTAGCCAAGGCTGTGGGAAATTTTGAGGTGCTGCGGAATTTTGTTGATCTGTCTCTTTCTATTTGTGATGTTAATTTTGACTCCTTTGTGATATATGTGTTGTTATGTTTGTGAAACTTCTGTGGGCTACCTTTGAGAAGTGTTCAGCATGATTTTATTTTGTTTTCCTGTGACCTTTATGTGCTGTAATTCATTTCTATTGATGTTTTATGGAATATATACTATTTAAAACTCGTGTTGATAGTGTTTTTGATAGAATTGTTAATTAATGAAGAGAAAATAAATACTTAATTCTAAGATACATAAAAATTACTACTCAAGTTTCAAGTTTGCACAGAAACTTTAATGTTTGAGGGCTTAATAAAAAGAGCTGGACCAATATTTTACTACTTAAAATAGGATATGGCTTATTAAAAATTAATTAGCTAGTTAATTTTAACTGACATTGTTGTTTTTCAATTGGAAGTTATATAAAATCTGAATTAATTGTTATAACAATTGTTTTAATGAAATATGTTACGAAATGTATAGAAATATAATTAAATATTTTATAAACAAAGGCAAAAGCAAATTAAATTTGTTATTTGATTTATTAAAATGAAAACGAAATACGACAAAGCTTAAATAATAAATATAACAAACGTTACGATTAATTTTTTAAATCAAAGAAAAAAAGAAAATAAGAATGGTTATATACATTAATTGGAAATTCTTTGAAGTTAATTATATTTTTTCTTGCGCTATGTTTGTTGGAAGTATTGAATTTGAACTCAATCGGTATAAACATTTATTATTGTGAAGTATTTTCTTGTTGGTTCTCATTAAAAATAGCTTTATGCCTCGGTTATATTAATCTTAATTCTTGCGTTTTATTTAGCCACTTTACCGTAAGGAGAATTTTACTGCACTCTTCGCTTTTAGAACTTAATAGCTTCATTGGTTAGCTTCGTTAGCTTTTCAGAAAACATGTTTATAGGCCATCCACAAAGTAGAAAACAACCCCGACTTTTTGCTTTGTGTTACGTAGTGTTGTATATTTGTACATATTTTCTTAAAAGTACGTCGATTTAGTGGCCTATATTTTTAATATATACAATAGATCATAGAAAAGTATATAAACTACGAACATTTTCTTTAATAATATTTTTATTTGAAAATTCGAATGATTTATTTATTACAAATTTATTTCATATATGAATGCTTTATTAGCGGGATTTTTAATTTTATTTCTGTATACTCTATTGCCTTAAACTTCATTTTTTTTGTAAAAACAGCATATTTATAATATTATTTGATTTAATTCTTTAAGCATGAAGCATGGAAAAGTTCTTACAAAAACGTTATTATAACTTTGATCTTAACGTATAAAATAAAATTAGTTAAAACTTGCAAAATAAGATAAAAAAATCATGGCACAAAAGATTCGAGATTTAAAAAACAATTTTCGAGCGAATAAATGTGCAACAATGAAAATATATATAGTCTGTGAAACGAATAACTTTGAATTTGACAGTTCCCGCGGGCTTTTCTAGTGTTAATTTTATTAGGTTAGCAACTTGCGGCCATGCTGACGCAATGCCGTCTCTAATAGAACAGCCTCGGAGCGAGATTTATTACGTCACGCTAGTTAGATACTACTGATTAATAAATATGTTGTAGAATACATGGAAAAGATAATTATTCCTCGCATTTTTGGTTTGTATTTTAAAAATGATATAGTTTAGATGAAATATACATAATATACAGTTAATAAATACAATATATATACCTATTTATAGTAATAAACACTTTGGCAAATAAATTATGAACCATACAAATGCAGCAAATGTTTTACAATATACAAATAATGAATAGGTACATTGACTATTGCTGAAATCGTACTCCATAGTCAATGTAGATAGTTTTAGTGTTAAGAATAATAATTTTAAAAAATATGTGGTTATCTTTTGACAAGTTTATATTAGTTTATTAATTGCAGTAAACATTATGTGGTGTGTAGTCTGAATATTTTATATGTCATTTTTTGGATTATATTCGACACTATTTTTTTCATATGACACAACACTGATGAAGGCTATAATGTTAGCCGAAAGGTTTTTTTTAAACCAAATTTAAATAATGAAAAACCAAATGAAAACTTAATCAGCGTTTTTCCCGAAATCCCAAGAAAATCAAAAATTTTAGAATAATTTTACATATTATAAAATGACAGCGATCATTATTTCATAGCCTTTTTTCTATGATATTGTATTATTTGCAAATATAATTTTTTGAACATTGATACTTGCAAAATATACATATAAATTTTGTGAATGCAAATAATAATATATCACTATTAGTAGATATTGAATGTTTTTTGTTAAATTAGATCGATTTTCAAACCCCAAAATTTAAAATATATTTTACATTTTACCCATTATCCTATGTACCTATTCATTATTTGTATATTGTAAAACATTTGTTGCATTTGTATGGTTCATAGTTTATTTGCCAAAGTATTTATTACTATAAATAGGTGTATACATTGTATTTATTAACTGTATATTATGTATATTTCATGTAAACTATATCATTTTTAAAATACAAACCAAAAATACGAGGGAGAATTATGTTTTCAATGTATTCTAGAACATATTTTTTAATCCGTAGTATCTAACTAGTGTGACGTCATAAATCTCACTCCGTGGCTGTTCTATTAGAGACGGCATTGGTCTGATATTTAAAAATGTCAAAAGCTGATGACATTTTACTTTTGACAATTATGACATTTCGTGTTGATTTTTGTAAGAAGAGGAAAAACTGTCACTTGTTTTATTATTTTCCTTTTCTATTCCACGAAAGTAAAAAGAGTTACCTATCTGATCCGTTCAGGCACTCAGGGATGACACAGGGATTTTATATTTGCCATGTTGGTAAAAAATAACGGTCAAAATTCAAAGTTATTCATTTTATAGACTATATAACTTGTTTATTTCACTATTCAAATCAGCTTGGATGTCGTAGAAGACATTTTTTTTGTAAATGAGAGATCCAGCAACTTCTATTAAATTCATACGCATCAATAAAACTTTTTGGTTCTCTAGATTTCCTCTTTATTTTTGCGTTAACATTTTTTGGCCTATGTTACAAATACAGTGTGAGTCTTAAAAAGGTGCAAATATTTTTAAGGGTTGTATATTTCGACCCCAGAAATACGATTATGAGGTTTTTTGTTCGAGAAAAAATTTCGAAAATTTCGAATTTTTTGAAATAATTTTTGGAATTTTCTTTCGTGTTTTTAGTTAAAAAACATAATTTCTTGACAATATGGCCGTATAGGTAGTAGATTAAATTTACAAGAAAGAAAACCCATAAAAGATCCAGTGGTAAAAAAATCAATCATTTTTTTCGGAAATTTTTAAAGTAAAATAACTCAGTTATTTTGGACTTATTTGAAAAACGGTAAAGAGAAAATATGCTTCTTTTATTGAGATCTACTAACCTTGAAAATATTTGAACTTATTTAAGACTCACCCTGTATACCGGGTGCGTCTCATAAGTGGCTCACCCCTATAACTTTTTTATTTTTTTAGTTAAGAAAACGAGATTTGGTATGTTAGTATATGACATAAATTAGGACTGATTGACGTATTCAATTGTTTTTGGTCACTTCCTGTTTCACGGGAAATGACTACAACTTTTGATTTTTAAATGACACCCTCGGTATTTTTCTACTTTATTCGATAGAAAATAACACTCTTAGTTCTCGTATTCATTATCTATTGAATGACATATTATCATATGCGAATATATGGTTTATTTCAAATTATAACTTGCGGTTCGTAACGAAACTTTGACTCGAAATATCAAGTGTGTGGTATCAAATTATTCGTAAAAAAATGTTCTTTCCAAATATCCTAATGAGCCACCCTAGTTCCATTCGAAAAAAATGAGATATGATTAAAAATACGATTTCGGCATTTTTTAACCGGCCAGGACAGGAACACATTAGACGATCAAATCTATTTTTCCAAGGCTCCTTGATTAAGAATTAGTGTTTTTAACATAGCCATGACACTCTAGATTGAAATTTAAAATACTTAAACTTAATTTTTTTTATTATGCAAGAATATCAAAAGTTGACATATGATGTGCCATTCTATTCAGAGTGTCATTTTCTGTCGAATAAAGTAAAAAAATAGTGAAGGTGCAATTAAAAAATCAAAAGTTGTAGTCATTTCCGGTGAAACAGGAAGTGACCAAAAACAATTGAATACGTCAATCCTAATTTATGTTATATAAAATAAAAAAGTTATAGGGGTGAGCCATTTTTGAGGCGCACCCGGTATACTGAAAACCAATGAAAATCTTCAACTTATAAATCTTTATATAGTTTTCTTTAACAAAAGAAATTAATTAAAGAAATATTATTAATAAAAAATTTATTATTATTATTTTTTTTAAATTAATAAATAAAAATATTGACGAAATCTATTTAAGAAAGTAACTTGATCGATATTTGTAGAAACAATTCTTTTCTTTGATTGGCACAATATTTTTTTGGGTCTGTTGGTAATTTTCTAAAGTCAGTCTTAAAATAATGTAATTCTTATAAGATCAAGAAAACCTGAGCACAGAGATTATTTTTTCTATTTAGACGATACAAAAGAAACACAGTCTTAACTCCTACCTTTGCGAAGGTTATTTAAAGAAGCCGTCAAATAAAATTACATCAGAATTTCGTTTATTTTGCACCCCTAAGTCTGGAGACGGAAAGCAAACAATTCGAGACGTTGCTTTCGCCTTCTTCTTCCATCTCTTCGCCTCGTATATCAAATCAGAACGTTTAAGATCAAAGTAATTGATTTGACAAAAATCAGTGGAGCAGTAACGAGTTGCCGTTTTCAGGAATATTCCGTTCAATTGACGTTTCGTGAGCAGTGGCTCGATGAGCGACTCAAATTTAACGACTTCCATGGACGGCTAAAATATCTCACCCTGACGGAAGCAAACAGGGTCTGGATGCCTGACCTTTTCTTTTCCAATGAGAAGGAGGGCCACACTCATAACATTATCATGCCTAATGTCTACATCCGTATTTTTCCATACGGTTCAGTTCTGTATAGTATTCGAATATCGTTGACTCTATCGTGCCCAATGAACTTAAAGCTTTACCCTTTGGACAGGCAGATTTGCTCGTTGAGAATGGCTAGCTGTAAGTCACCAGAATTGTTTCTTGCTGATGCAGGGTGGTCCGAACTGAATTCCGGAAACTTCGGCAGCATATTCTGCACATGATGTATGTCCTAAAATGGCTTAGTTTAGGAGACATACAGTGTAGAAGCACAAATTACCTATAACAGATGCGAAAGAACACCGAATCACGCGTTCAGGTTTCTGTGACCTTCAGAAAGAGTTCATAGACAATCCGCATCAATGTATAGTTTGGGTTATTATTTGTTTGGGTGAAAATAATCTGCACCAATATGTTATCGAGGCATACAAAAAGGTCCACAGACTTCGAGACATACGAAAAATCAAGTCCATTTAGCGTGTGTCGCAATTTTCACACTTTAAAAAATTAGTTTTTTTTAGCTATAGCAACTGCAGCGACTATGAAAAAAGCTGTGTGATTTTCATAGAAAATAAGGGCACCTGTAATTCATTTGAGAATGTTATAAATCGCTAAAAGAGGTTTCAAATCTCTTGGATTTCTATTAATATTAAATAAATTTTATTAAAAATTGCACTAAAATTGTTAGTATCATTAAAAACAATTCAAATTCAAAAATTGTATCAGTCACCTTTAAGTGCATTTAAGGTGAATATTAAAGTAAATATAAATACAGCTCATTCTAAGCTCTACTTATCTTTAAGAAAAATTTAAATCATTGTTGCAATTGGGCCTTAATGCCATTTCGAATGAACAATAGTATTAATAATGTACATTATAATAATAATAAATTTTATATCATAGTGTGTATTAAAACTACTAAAACACTTTTAAATTGGTATTATATTAACAACTTTTGTTTTTTAATCCAAAAAAAAGTTACCAATTTTCTCAATCAAAATATTTGTGGTCCTGAAAAGGACCTTCGTTTTCCCATGTTCGTCAAGGTAGGTAATGGGTAAACGGTAAAAAAACAGGATAATGAAATTTAAAAAATTACAAAAATTGTTCAAAAGTGCCTCCCTCTTGCATTAAACAATAACCCAAACGATCATAAAATCCCCTCCTCACATTGGATAACATATCAGGGGTGACAGTGTCAAAGGCATTAAATATTTTCTGCCTTAACTGCTCCAAGTTTTGAATTTCTTCATGGCCGTAAATTTTAGATTTTATGTACCCCCATAAAAAGAAATCATTCACCGAGAAGTCAGGTGAAATTAAACGTCAGTCTAAACAAAACTGTCATTTTTGAAAACTTGTCAAAATTTGGACACACGCTAAATGGACTTGATTTTCCTATGTCTCGAAGTCTGTGGACTTTTCTGTATAATCTCACAGTAATTTAATAGATTGCTCGTCATATTATATCAGCTCGTAGGAGATTAGGAAAAAAAAAGATATTTATAGTATAAAAAATTAATTTATTTAACAAAATTTAATTAAAGATGTGACAAAATAGTTACTTTTCTATTGGTTCTATCGGACTTTTTTCGACTATATAAATCTTTATTTGTAAACTTTAATGCATAAAATATTTTCAATCTAATAAATAATTTAATGATGTAAATAAGAGGAAATTTGTCACATGGGTGGTGAAATTCTATAGTTTTCATTATATCAATCAGCCTCTGAATGTTCTCTTCAGTGCAAAACTCATCAAAATTTAATATAAATAATTTTTCCAGCCTGTAAATAAAATGAACAAATTTTTCCACTTTTAAATGGGTAAATAATTTCGAGTTATCCAGAGATTCGGATTCTTTTGCAAATTTTAGACAAATATCACATTGATGTATTTGAAGACCCTTTTTAATGATGTAGTCAAACATAATTAAAGGCATTTTGAGTTGAAAACATTTCTCAGAGGCTGTTTGATATAATGAAAACTATAGAATTTGACCACCCATGTGAGAAATTTCCTATTATTTACATCATTAAATGATTTATTAGATTGAAAATTTTTGATGTATCAAAGAATATCAAAAGTTGATCAAAAGAAGAATATCAAAAAATTGAACAAAGTCCGATAGAACCAATAGAAAGGTTCAAATGACAAAAATCACATTTTTAATTAAATTTTGTTAAATAAATTAATTTTTTATACTATAAATATCCCTTATAAATAAACACATTTGTATCCCATTTTAAATAAGATATATAAATTACCAAAACTTAGAAATAACAGTTCAAAAGTTCAACAAAAATCCTACACGCGTTTTTAAAAAGGAACATATAACCACGCACTATGTCACTCCAGCAAGCGAATACGACACAGCATGGGTTTCCGGACTAAACGACTGGTGTATTTACACCACTCAATAGGCGTGTCGGGTTTGCCGAACGGTTTCCGATGCAGTCGCTTTCTTTCGCATCTGTTATAGGTAATTTGTGGTAGAAGTTTCATTTTTATCTCGATTTTTTTTTCAAATAAATAATAAAAAAGAAACTTTACACCTTGTATCTCCGAAACTAAGCATTTTAGGACATACATTTATACGAACTTTTTTACTAAAAGTACTTGTTTTACTTAAAGAAGTTTCCGGAATACAGTTCGGAGCACCCTGTATAAGAAAATTACTATAGGAAATCCCTTTTTCCAGATGGATGGACTACTGACGACTTGGTTTTCCTATGGAAAGAGGGCGACCCAGTACAAGTTGTAAAAAACTTACACCTACCTAGGTTTACATTAGAGAAATTTCTTACTGACTACTGTAACAGCAAAACGAATACAGGTGAATATGTTTCATTCAAATTTTGGACTTTAAAAAAATGTATGTTTTATTTGTATTTAGGAGAATACAGTTGTTTGAAAGTGGATTTGCTGTTCAAAAGAGAGTTCAGTTACTATTTGATCCAGATCTACATACCCTGTTGCATGCTGGTCATCGTCTCTTGGGTGTCTTTTTGGCTGGACCAAGGAGCTGTGCCTGCAAGAGTGTCTCTGGGTAATTATAATCTATATTAAACTTTTTTTGCAGTTTCATGATTTTAAGTTTTAGAAATGTATTTTTTTATTATATTGTAAAGAATTTTAATTTTTATTGTCGAGAAATGCTTCACGAAATTTCAAAAAATTAACAGTTAAGTAGTAAGTTATTTTTTTAAACCTCTCTTCATCGAAAGATCAAGTATTAAACCATATTAATATTTACTTTATGAAAATCTGGGGACATGTTAACTAAATAAAAGGCTTTACCTTGTCTGGGTAAATATACGTGGTATTGTTTTTCAGAATTTCCTTTCCAACTTTGTCCTTCTGTCCTAAAATTTTAATTAATCATTTCGAGTTGAATGTAAAATTGAACAAAAGACTTGAGGATATTTGGACCTATGTAAATTCAGCTAAACGATTTTCTGTTTACTTAATAACTAACTTCGTACACGTTAAACTGCAAAAATGATTCTCAAAATACTTCGAAATCTCCCAGTTTGGATATACGAGGGTTGTCTTTTATGTTTTGCGTATAGAGGTAGAAAATATGTCAAAAATGACAGGCTTTAGAAAAAAACGCAGGACACAGTTTCATTAAGAATGTGATTATCTAAAACTTTTATCTGAAAACTTTTTGTCTAAAATAGCTTATAATGGAATTAGGGACAATTTTTAAAATAGCCAAAATTTGTCTTTTTCGAAATATCTCCCAAGCAGCATTTGGACGTCGGGACAACGTTGTGTCACGCGACCAAACGTCGGGGCGCAACGTCGGTACAACCTCGTGCCAACCCTAGTCTGCACTAGTTTGGAGAATAATTTTTGGGTCGAAACGACGTTGGATACCGACGTTGGCTAGAAGCCTAATTTAGTACAAACTGCAACGTTGTTTAAAATCCTAATTCACAGAAATACAAAACTAATATGGCGTCTAAGTCGCGTTTTATCCTAAATTGGGATAATTATAGTAAAAATATTATATTTATAATTTAGTTAGAGACATATGTCAGATGGCAGTGAAGGAAAACAAAACAAAAGTATTTAAGTGTGGAGGATGTTTGAAGATCATAATTATTGAAACACTTTAACCGACTCTGTAACTCGTTACCCAAGGTAAAAAGTTAAACGCAAACAACTTTATTGATAAATGTATTGTTTCTACTTTAAAAAATACTAATGGGCCTTGAAATTAAAGAAGTTTTAAAAATTTTCTTGAATTTTTTTTTTAGTAAAATGAGAATAATTTATTCGCATTCGAAAAAATTGTTTCCGCGTATTTTTTAGGGTCAAATATTTCAAGTTAATGTATTCAAAAAGCAGGAATTGCTATTTTAAGAACGAAACATTTTCTTATTTAACAACATGGCGGCTTTAACTTTGTTGTTTTGGAGATTAAGATGGAGTAGTTCGAGTAGTCGCATACTGGACTAATAAAGTCGCAGTTCGGCCTTAACAGGTAGTATACTAGTCGCAAGATTGCCTAATTTAGTCATTCTAGAGTCTAGCTTGTGCCGCCCTCTATAATCTAAATAAACGAGGAAGTGTCGGTAATATATGTCGATGTATATTTAAATTTAGTTTTATATGTACCTTTCTTATGTCCCATTTTAATTAAGTTTTTTTTTTATAAAAACAAAAACAGCACTGAACTGTCTGACTGAACAGAACAATGAATTGAAAATTTAAGATTTAAGGTTATGGTTCAATACAGTTGCAAAAAGGTAGTGACTCTACGTCCTACCAACGTAAGAATAAGGAAATCTAAACAACGTTGGAATTAGTAAAACAGACGACGTTTGCATAACGTTGGAATAGGTCCTGAAACTGACGTCGGAAAACTCTATATTATCCAACGTTGTAACTACGTTGTCCAAATCACCTAAAGATCACTTAAGCAAAAAAGGTTACAAGACAACGTTTATTCGACGTCGCAGAAGCTTCTACTTTGCTGTAGTACTAGTCCAACGTCGGCACAACGTTATAAAAACGTTTAAATTTATTTTAATACCAAAGGTAGGGAGCTAACTATTTTTTGTAACTAATCCAACGTTGTGTTTAGTAAACATGTGGTCGCAAGTCGTGAAAATGCTACTTGGGTAGTAAGCCATGAACTTTTTCAAAAATCCAAAAGGCGCATATTTATGACCCCACAAAACTGCAATTCTTTCCTCATTTAACCGACTCTCTATCTCCTGTAGTTTCCGAGATACCCATAGAGAACATCGTAGGAAGCTCACCCTGTATATTGAAAGACGCGTACTATGTTTCTATTTGCAAAATTTAAAAGACAACCCCCGTATTTTTCGTTGAAATCCTGGATTCGCAACTGCATGTAACACGTTAATTAAAATTATAATAGGACCCGGAGAGAATGGGCGTTTTGCTATATATGTAGGCATGTTTACGTACGTCTCTGTGTATCTTTATAAAACGCAGTTATGTTATAAACAAAGTTTTGTAGCCGTGACATTGCTTTATGTTCGGAATAAGCAAATGTCAAATTACTGTTCGGTAAATTGTTGAGTTTGCACATAACTAAATTGGAGAAAGTTTCCAGCGAACTTGCTACGGTATATTGTACCAAAATGGAAATACCTAACTAAATCTCATTTTCTCAGCCTCTCCTCTACACACAATCGTAAAAACACGATTGGACTGGGCAAATTTACTTAATGGCGGAACCACACTTTCCTGAACAAATTTACACTTATTTGCTTAATGTTAATTTATCTTTTTGAACCAAAAATAATACGCGAAATTCAACTAAAAATGACCCAAATCTATGCAGGTTTATTTAAAGCCTCTCGTTCTGACCCTAAAATGTCCCTAATAAACTTAAAACCAGGGTTGGGCATGATTTAAATCAAATTATTTTTTTAATTTTAATCATAAATATTTTTTTAAAACTTTACAATAAATCGAAAAATAATTGTAAAAGTTATAAAAATGTGTCCTAGAAAACTATAAAAAATATTTCTATAACAGATATACCCTATATCAATTTATTAAACAGCTGTATATTGATCAAGATAACTTCTGCCTTCATCAATTTATCTTCTAGTTCTTTCCAAATTTCTACCGACATTTCGACCTGCAGTAAGTATTTTACGGTATCAACTGTCGATAGTAAATAAAGGCTTTTTTCGGCTAGCCAAAATTATATAATGGAAAATAAATTTCTTGCAGTTTTTAGGTATATAATAAAATTATATAAGAGTTTCTTGCCTTGAACTGCTAATATAGAAATTAATTCCGCTATCTCGCGATGCGGGACTTAATATCTTACCGCTACTTTACGACAAGTCGTGTTTATATACTCTGCGCTGTGCTCGACATATTGTGGAAACGACCCAAGCTCACCTGATGATGGGGTAGGGCCCCGAAACCGGTAGTGAGAGCAGGTTGATCCACATTATGTCGAACACAGCGTGGAATTAATTTCTATATTAGCAGTTCAAGGCAAGAAACTCACAAACTCAAACAAAAAGAAAAATTTATTTTCCATTATATAATAATTATTGTTATCAGTATCGGGCAGAGTTATGAAGATTTAGCCATTTCGTACAGGATTTTAATTGGAATGAAGTCCTAATTATTTGGAAATCCGATTTAAATAATGTTTTCTATTAAAATAAAAAAATCTGATTTTTTTTAAATCATGATTTTTTCCAACCCTCTGAACTCAAAACAAAGATTTTCTTAAAAAATTCTTACAACCTGATCAAACATTCCTAAAGAAGGAACCTTTTACACTCAAATTAATGACCCTCTTTTACGTTTATTCAAACTTTTTGTAATGATCCTAAAATTCCTCTTGTAATCTTCGGATCTTCTTCGAAAATTTCGTACAACCCCGTAAAACATTCCTGAAGAACATACGTTTATACTAGAATTAATTAATTTATATGTAACCTGACCCTCCTCTACGTTCATTTAAAACTTTTTGTTGTGATTGTAAAATTCCTTCCCAATTCTAAACTTGCGATTTCCTCGGCCTATTTTAAACAATCAGATAAAACATTCCTAAAGGAGGAATTTATTAATTTGCGTATAAACTGTTTTATTTTCGTAGCTACGTCCACATTTGAAGGACTCTATTTATTATTTATGCGTCAAATATTAAATTTAATTAAATTTTAGTTTACCGGGTGCGCCTCAAAAGTGGCTCCTCTATATCTTTTTTATTTGTTCAGATAAAAAAAAACAGATTTTGTATAATCGTATATGACATAAATTAGGATTGATTAGTGATGTAAGGCTAATATTCCCGCGATAATATTACCTGTAATTTTGGTAATATTACGTAATATTACCGCATAATTAGTAATAAGGAAAGGTCGGAAAGCTTACTTATATTGCCCATAATTATAATTTACTAAACGGAGAAGAATATCAAAGAATGGTCGAAGCTGCTGAGAAATAAATGGAAGAAGAAGAAGATGAGAAACAAGAACTAGAGGACGAGATTGAGGATGATATACCATTATCTACTCTATTACGTACTACAACGTTGATTCCAATCAAGGTTGGTCACGATGTGGCAAATGTTCATCTGTCCAACGTTGGAAGGTGTTTGCCACATCGTGTGGGACCGGCTTAACATAGACCACTTTGACTATGACTAGTTTAAAAAACGTTCTTTTCATTTTTTGGAATATTTTTACAGTTTTGAACTGTAAAAAAATAATATTTAAAAAGCTGTTTTTTATAAATTACCAATGTTACCGTAATATTACCGGTAATATTACCGATTTATAAATTACCGGATTTTACATCACTAGGATTGATTGAAGTATTCAATTCTTTTTGGTCACTTCTTGTTTCACCGGAAATGACTACAACGTTAGATTTTTAAATGGCACCCTTTATATTTCTACTTAATTCTTTGAATAAGAAGACTAAGGAAGGAGCATAATGCTATCCATGTATTCATGCATGGTGGGCGGAAAAAGCGCCATAAAAGCACTCTAGGGTGGGGATCCTTGACAGTTCTGTTTGACGATTCATTTGACA